AGCCGCTCGGCCCCGCGAGCCAGCACGCGTGCCCGAGCCGCGCCGCTCAAATCGCCGCGCCGCCCGTTGCTTCCCGTGCGCGCGCGCCGTGGTGGCCGACCGCCTGGTCGCCGCCGCCGTCAGCCTCTGCCACGCTTTTCCGCGCCTGCCGCCCGTGTCGCCGCTCCGCTCCACACCGCCCGGCCGTCATCGCCGTCGTCATCAACCCGACCCCGCCACTCCGCGCGCTAGCCTCCAAGGGACGGAGGCAGAGCTCCTCCTCCCTCTGCCACGTCGCCCTCTCTCCCTTTTTCTTTTCCCAAAGAAGCAAGGAGGCAAGCCCCCTTTTCCTCTTCCTTTCTTCTTTTTCCTCCCATCGCCGGCGTCACCTCCTGTCGCCGTTTTGGCCGTGACCGCCGAGCGCTAGCCCTCTCCTTCGACCGCCCTAGGTCGGTTCCCAAACCGACATTGCCATTCTATAAAGCCCAGGCGCCCTCCCTCTCTTCTCCTCTCGTTGTCCCATCGCCTCCACTCCATTGTAGCCGCCCCGTGCTCTGTTCACCGTCGCCGTTCGTCGTTGCGCGTGTCGGAGGAGCCGGCACGAGCAAGGATGCGGAAGGGGACTCCGAGCGCGCCCTCCCCCTCCTCTTCCTCGGCCCGAGGCCGAAACGATCACGTTTCGCGTCGTCGGCTCTCGTCACTGCGCCCCGTCCGCACGGTAGCGCATCTCCCCGTTCTCCCTCCTCGTTCCATCGCCTCGCCTTAGACTCGGGTAGTAGCACGAGTGGCCTCCCCGTAGCTAGCAGGCGCCGCCCCGACCGTTGCCGCCGCCCGCTGTGTGCTCGCCGCCGTCGCCGTAGCACCCGCTCGTCGCCGGCCTCGCTCGGCGCAGCTCCGCCCAATCCGACGCTGGCAACGGATTCCCGTAGCCGCGTAGATGCTCTCGCCGCCGGGAATCGGCCCCTCGTGACCTCGTCGCCGTTTCCCCCTTCTCCCGCCGCCGGTTGCCGCCGCCGCAATCCACCGCCATCGAGCATTCCCCGGCAAATCCGAGCCTTTGGCTCGACTCCCCTCGTCCCGTGCAACTTCCCGGTGTGCTCGCTTTCGCCTGTATCGCCGTGATTCGCTCCGCCGCTCGCCACCGCCGTCCGCCGTCTGTTCCGGCAGGCGTCTTCTTCAACCTCCCGCCGGCCCGCGTGGCACCCACGAAGGCGCCACGTCGGCGCCACCTTGGCCGCGACCGGGTCAAGTAGACCCCGGTCTGCCGCTCCCCTCCGCCCCCTCGCGCGCGAGGTCCACCGCGAGCCGTGAGGCTGCACGTGGGCCCGCCGCACCGCGTCCTCCGCGAACCGCGCGCATGCGCCGCGTGCTCCCTCCGCACGGTGAGCCGAGCCCCCGACAAGCGGGTCCCACCCGGGACCACGCGGGATGGACCCGGCCCACCGGCTCTCTCTCTCCCCTCCCCGCCCGCGCGCGTGCCATGGGCCGCCTTCTTGGGCCGGCCGGCCCATTAAGCTCGGCCGAGCCTTTCTCTCGGGCCGCGCCCTAGCTGCCCGAGGGAAGTCTAATTTCCCCCCTCCTTCTTTTCTTTTCTTTTCTTTTTCAAAAAGGATTTAAATAAATCCTTTTTCCTTTAGACCAAAAATTCAATAATCTTAGAAATTCAATATCTTCCCAACCGTAAATCCGTTTGACTCCGTTCAACTTCCAAAATTCCTCAAATCTCGAGATCTATCTAATGGCACGCTTAGAGGTCATTAATAGGGCTTTATTTTCGCCGTTTGTTGAGTTGTCCCGTTTTGCGTGTAGTTTCGGAGCCCGAAGACCCACAGTGCGAGGATTTCGAGGATCAAGCTCAAGATCTCGAGCAAGGCAAGCCACCTTTGAACATCTTGAGCCTATATTTGAACTTAATTATGTTGCTTGAAAAATATTATGCATTGATAGGATCGCACTTAATCTGCTTGTCCCGTCTGCAAGGTAGATTGGCGGACCTACCTAATTTGTTGCATTTGATCCTTCCTTTGTTAATTGTTATACCATGTTCCCTTGTAACCACCCAGTTGCGCCTCGGAAATCGTGCACTCTGCACGAGTATCGACGGTCGCCTTCAAACTTAAAATCTGGAAAACATCTTGGGTAAAACTTGGGTTTTACAAAAGACTTGGAAAACCCGACACCTGGGTCAGTGCTTGCGAACTAAATGAATTTCCAAAACCGCGGACCGGGGAACGTACCGGGTGTACGGTTTCCCGCTATTGCACTTAAGGACCGTTTCCTTGGAATTTCATCCAATCATAAGACAAGTACGACCACATGGGTGGAATGGGACACCCCTGGCTGAGTAACTAGCTTATCAGGGGAGCCTTGATGCCGAGAGACATGTGGATTCGCCGAGGTGGTGTCGGGGAGGACCCCTAGGCTTCCTGGCACAGTATGGTCTGGGATCTAACCTGTTGTTGGTCTGGGACCCCTCTCGTCGGCATATGGTAAACCTGTGTTGGCTTTGGAAATGCCTTGTCATGAAAGCTTGGAGGTCTCCCGACGTGGCTGATCCCCACGGGCTGGGTGATCCGGGTTAGTAATGTCGTGTGGGTAAAGTGTACCCCCTCTGCAGAGGTTAACAAACTGTTCGAACAGCCATGCCCACGGTCATGGGCGGATGTGAGGTGATTCCTAGCGTAGTTTTGTCTGACTACTGCCTTGTAAAATTTGCTGTTGTGGAATGGGTTTGATGTTTGGAAAATCTGCGGCTGACGGGATCAGCCAGGCCCGGGTGACCGTTTGAAAGCTGTTGGCCGGGTGCCAACCTTGATCAATTCAAAAGACTGATACATTGCACATACTCCGACCGGACGAGACGCACTGTCTCATCCGTGTCGTTTGAGAAGCACTCACTTAGTTGTTTCAGAAAAGAGTTCAAATAAAATCAATTGCAAAAACAACAGCCTTTCCTTGAAGCCTGTATTAAACACTTATTTCCCATGGCTTGCTGAGTACTCCCGTACTCACCCTTGCTCTATATAAATAATCCCCCCCAGTTGCTGAAGAAGATGAAGCGGATCCCGCTGATGAGGAGTTCTTCCAGGAGCAAGCCGGCTACGATGAGTTTTAGGGTTTCGGCCTAGTTCCCAAGTCGCGCCTGTGATGTTTGGTCCAAGTCTGGCTTCCGTTTTCCTTTTGTAATGCAGTTGTGAGCTCGGGATCTGTCCGCAGCCCAACATAACTGTACACCTACTCTATAATAAAGAGACCTCTATTGCTGTGATATTCTGTCTCCCTGTGATACCAGCACTATTTCCTGGGACTGGTATCGATTAACAGGTTAATTTGGAGCGTCACGGGCTAGTTCTGGTCGGGACTAGTTCGGGGCGTGACAAGTATCCAAGACAAAAATAATATTAAGGGGAAAAAAAAACCCCATCATTAATAGAAAGGTGTAGAATTGGTTGGTGGCTATGAAATGAGCATTGCATTGAAGGGAGAAAATTTCTTGATTTGTGAACCAGGAAAAGTAAGAAAAAGTAAGAAAAATGTGTTGGCTGCTTATATTTTAAAACATCGTTTATTTTGTGACAAGAGTGAATATACGTAAAATTGTTACCTATTCGATGATTGGTGATTTGGTCTAATTAGAGACAGGGATTGCATTAATTTTTATAATGAGTAAATGTTAAAAAAACTACATGTTTTATGATCTAAATGATTTATAAAGTCCTACCTTTTTCTCAAATTTCCATTAATTTCAGCATATCCAAAAACAATATTTTTCAAAGTAGTGAGTTAAACAATCAATAGTAATGAACTCAATAGTTAAACATTTCATATACACTAAAAAAATTTAAGTAAATCCATGGTCATATAGGGTGGGGTGTTGTAAAACTTTACAACCATAATACCTAGAGCTAGTAATGTGCCACTAGTCATAATATTTTGGGTTTCATGTGCCACTAGTCATAATATTTTGGGTTTCATGCAACTTTGATCATAAAGCATATTGTTTTCTAAAGTTTAGCTAACATGAGTTTCTAGAGTGGGAATGTTAAACATGCTTCCTCAGTTTTAAAATGTAGCTACATACTCTCTCCGTTCTAAAATATAATTATTTCCTAAACTTTTTTCACGATAAAGATAAAAAGACTAGATTTTCCCCTTCCATAATTGTCCCGGTCTGTTGGAGGTATTTTAATCATTTCATCGTACATTTTGACATAAAATTTGAATGCTTAAAAAACTTAATTTAAAAAATATAATCCCTTAAAGGTGTTGATGGTTTCGCACATGTTGGCTCCCATATCTATGCTTCCTATAAAGTTAAAGCCCACTAAATCTAAAGCTCAACATGCAATTATGCCACATCATCACCCACTAACAATAAGTATATATTTAATCTCATGCAAGCATACAACATCATCACCCACTAACAATAATTATATATTTTAACAAATCTATCTATCACTTTTATGGACGATTCATTTGGGGTGTAGAGAATTTACTAGCCTCCGTAAAAAAAACCCTAGTTTTTATAATTGTGTACTATATTAATTTTTTGTTGAGTTGGTATATGTCGTGATTTGGAGAATATAGTTGGCTGTCATCTGGGAGTATATATGTGGTAATGTTTATTGCTATATATGGCTGTTGGTTATGTGGTAATGGTTTAGGGTTTATTGTAGGGGTAATTTTTTTTTAATTTCAAGATGTTTAGGAAGGATGACGTCGGCTATGCCCCTGAGCAGCTGCCTCCACCGGGTGTGAAGCGCCTAATGTATTGGTGTGGGGATGAGTGCTGTTTTCAGATCAGTGATGACTGGGATAGTTATCATTTTAGCTTTCTCTTGAATCAAATATTTCTAACATTAACCATTAATTCATCTAAATTTATGTAGTTCAACAACACATGAAATTACTTCTCAGCATGAATCTAAAAACATAAGAGATAATCTTATGATATTAAACTTTATAATTTTTTAGAGAGTGATAGTAAAATTAAATTAGGAATGATTGACTTAATTAGAACAAAGCTAAAATGATTAACAATTTAAATCCCAGGAAAAATTACAATGGACAAGCAGGTGCTGGCAGGATAATCGATCACGAGATAATATTTATTGAGAATGAAAATGGATACAATGGGAAATGAGCAGATCCAGCTTGCTCTTGCGGCCAACAACTGGTGCTTGGGTACAAGAACAGCCCATATTATTACACACGACTGCCATATATATTATTACTGGCTAACTAGCTCCAGTAATCTCGTGGTACATACACACAGATCGATTGATATCTACGAGCTAGCAACATAGGCAAAGCTCATACACTTGTTTAATGCATGCAAATCAAGGCAATAGAGATGCATATAGCAAAATACTTATAAGATTAATTATAGCTAAAAAGCATTATGCTTGAAGCTGCTTCATCGGCCTCCACTACTTAATCGCCGTGGCCAGCAATCTAGCATCGCCTCTGGTTGGTCACGTGCACCACGGCCTGCATCCATCAGATCGATGTGATAATTATTCTTGCTTTTGCTTACTACTCTGATCCCTCCGTCAAAAAATACAAAATTTCTAAGATGTTTATAGTAAATAGTAAGGTTAGCTCAAAAGATTCCTATAGGACATAACTTTTAGGCATAAAAATTGACATTTCCAAATTTGTTATAACACATAAAGTTTCATAATATTACACTTATATACATACAAACTACTTTTGTATTTGTATGAAATAAAATTAAGTTGTCAAACTTATACCTGATTAATTTTGAAAAGTCCAAAAGAGGAAATAGAAATACTCCATCCGTTTTAAAATATTTGACACCGTTGACTTTTTAGTACGTGTTTGACCATTCGTCTTATTCAAAAAATTTAAGTATTTATTTATTCTTTTCATATCATTTGATTCATTGTTAAATATATTTTTATGTACACATATAGTTTTACATATTTCATAAATTTTATTGAATAAAACGAACGGTCAAACATGTACTTAAAAGTCAACGGTGTCAAACATTTTAAAACGGAGGGAGTAGTAGATAAACTTCTGTCTAAATTCGTGGTATTATTACGACGAAAAGGATAATAAGGTGTAAAAGTAGGTACCAGATAGATGTCGTGGTGCATTGCTCGGTCGATGGCCTCCAGCGACGCCTCCCGAAACAAGGCGGTCAGCTGGACGTCTTCCTGCTCCGACGACGGCTGGTACATGAGCGGCACCTCGCGTCTCACCTTCGACCACAGCTCCAGCCGCTGCCGGATCACGTAATGGAGATCGCCGCCGCCCTTGCAGCCGGGCCGCCTCTCTCTCGCCGCCTCAGCCGCAGCTGGCAGCGGCGACGGTAGCTTACGTGCCTCCTCCAGCATGATCACCATCGCCGGCGTCATGAACTCGGCGATCACCTTCTCCGGCGAGCCCATGGCGGTGGCGCGCTGCATCTGGTGGCTCGACACCCACGAGCTGACGTAGGCTAGCCCGCTCCTGAGGCTGGCCACCATGGCGTCCACATCCTCCTCGAGGCCGTCCAGCTCGACCCCGCCCCAGAACTGCCGGGCTCGCCGGAACTCCTCCCACTTGCCCTGCAGCACGTCGCCGGCGCGCGCGCCGCCGCCGCGCAGCTGCATCGTCCCCTTCTTCGACAGCATCTCGGTTTCCGCGAAGCCGGCGACGAGCTCCAGCAGCTCGAACCGGACCATGTGCTGCATCACGACGGGGGATGGGAGGAGGGTTTGCCGTTGTCGGCCGCCGTCGACGGAGAAGACGGCCACCTCGGGCCTCTCGACGAACACGCCGTGCCCTTCGATGGACACCGCTTCGCCGCCCGGAGCGTGGCTGTACGAGTAGCCGATGGCGAGCAGCTGCTGCTGGTGATGACGGTGATGGCAATGGTGGTGGTGGTGATGGTCGCAGACCGTGGCGGCGGCGTCGCAGTAACCGCACTCCACCGACGAGAAGGTCGTCGTCGACGAAGCAGCAGGCACATGGAGGTGGACGACGAAGCTCTTCACCTCGCCGGCGTAGAGAACACCGACGACGACCTCACCGGAGGCCCCGCCGCAAGCAACGCTGCTCTCGTAGCCGCCAGAGTCGACGCGCACTATCCGCGCGCCGCCTAGCTCGGCAGTCTTGAGGCTGACGCGCGTGTCGACGGCGGCGACGGTCTTGAGCCCGCCGAGGCACACGGCGAGGGCGCCGGCGATCTTGTCCAGGTTGCCGTCGTCGACGAAGGAGTAGGTGCCGCGCGATTCTTGCGCGATGTGGAGCAGCGCCTCCGGGTCGTGCGCCGCGCCCAGGGCGAAGGTGTGGACGGGGTACTTGCCGACGGCGCCATGGATGACGTCGCGGCTCCACCGGAATCCGGTCGTGTCGTCGCCGTCGGTCAGGAGGAGGATGAACCCTACGCGGTTCCGGCTGTTGCCTTGCCGCTCATCCAGGATCTGTGATTACGTCGTGAGATGATCTTAACTTTTACATGTCATTGGTCTGTTGGAGGGTAAATCCTTAATTTTTGATTTAAAGGGAAAATACAATATAATCATAACTCCATTAATGTAGCATATTTTTAAGCCTTAAAAGAAAGAAATTTTAGGTACTTCTTATGTTCAAAACAATATCTTGTCTTTGATATTAACATGTTTATCAAGATATAACGTAACCACTGGTTTCAACTATAATAATACGAGCAATTTTACGGTTTTTGAGGAGGTAATATTTTTTCTATTGTAAATTTGGTACCTCTTAATACCTAGATACTATGAGGTACCATGAGGTATCAAATTTTACACTAAAATTTTGGTACCTCATGGTACCTCCTCAAGGACCGTAGAATTGCTCTAATAATACAATTACGCGTGGATCTATTTGGTGTTCCTAAAAAATGATTACTACTCCCTCTATCACATAATATAATCAAGCGTATTATATAATATTTGAAAAAAAAACTATTATGCTGACAATTTTATAGACAAGTCTACACAATATACTACTCCCTCCGTCCCAAAATAAGTGCAGTTTTGCACTATTCATCTCTAATGTTTAACCATTCGTTTTATTTGAAAATTTTTTATGATTACTATTTTTATTGTTATTAGATGATAAAACATGAATAGCACTTTATGTGTGACTATTTTATTAAAAAAATTTCATAATTTTTTTAAATAAGATGCACGGTCATACGTTGGACACGGATTTTCACGGCTGCACTTGTTTTGGGATGGAGGTAGTAGCAGTTATAATGCCTCCAACCAAAATATTAAGAAGGTATCGATTTTCAAATTTTGGAAGTTTGACTTGAAATATGTGCAAACAACATGTGTTTTAATAGCTGGAGAAGGTAACATTTTGCCAAACTTGCAAATAAATAATTGTACTACATTATTGCAAATACCTTGACGGCCTCCTGCAACTCGGGCATAAGCGCAGAGCCACTGCCACCACGGGCCTGAAGTCGGTCGATCTTTTTTCCGGCGATGCTCCGGCCATCGCCAGAAACATCCAACAAGCCGGAGCTATATTCCTTGACGGGTCCATCGTTAAAAGCCACAATGGAGAGGCGGTCTCCGTCGTCAAGCTTCCTGATGATAAACTTCATAGACGCCTTGAGCACATCCAACCTCGTCGCCTGCAGATTGCTCTCCGGCGACGCCGCCACCGGATCATTCATGCTGCCGCTGACATCGAGCACTGCGACGACGTCTATGGGGACATGGCCGTTGAGATCGGCCGCCGGTGGCGCCTCAACACGCAGTAACACCTGGAAGTCCTTGTTCGTCTGAGCTCTTGGGATTGTGGGGAAGATGGGCGTGGTGCTCACTTTCACAGGAGCTACACTCATCGCCTGCATTCAGAGTTTCAGATGCATACGTGTGAAATATTGTTGGTTAAAATTATTATATTGCTGGTGAAATTATTCATGGTGTTAAATTGTTCTTTGCAAACGGTTCTTCTCAAACTGGCTAAGACATGGTTATCATTTTGGGGTTACTTCATTTCCAAAAAAAAGTATAAGAGAGGTGAGTGGTATAGTACTCTGGCTGGTTTTTCATAAATATACAATTAATCGTCTGTTTTTCCAAAGGTCATTTCTCTTACTCCCACCATTGTATCGGTTAAGTGATTTAAATCATTGTACAAATTGACAAAATAGTTCTCTTACTACTGTAAAAGTGAATCCTTCCTGCTCCTCCCTCACCATCCAGAAAAAAAACGGGGTATATATGTATATATAGCACTAGTTAAATTAAGAAACAGACTTAAAACAGAGGAGTTAGCAGTTAAACCTCTATGTGCAGTAGCGTGGAGAAGATCAGGCACGGCAGCAGAAGCATCAAATTATGGAGTTGCCCCATGCTACTACTTCAATGTAAACAGTCTAACCGAGTCTTGTGTGATTCTTGCCTTCGGCTGATGCAAATGAATCTCCAAGAGACAAAGCTTTTGATTGAGTGCCAAGCCAATATATAGGCTCAAATAGACCACGACTTAGCTATTAAGTCAATGCAACCTAGTAGCTAGCAAGAACAACATATGAAATGCTAGGAGAAACGATTACTTAAATTTTGATCTCTTGCAGGTACGTACTACGTACGCCGTATGTGTTCTTGATAATAACGACAACGTACTAGATAGACGACGACTTCACGTATGCGAAGATCTGATCAAGGGTAAAGTGCAGTGAGGTCCTGTCCATCACGATTGTCGATCGTTTAGGATCTCCCCCTGTTGGCATACTCAAGGTTATTGGCGGGAAACTGTTTTAATCCCTCGAGGGGATATCCCCTCGTTTTTGCATGTCACTTAAATGGTTATAAAAAAATTTGAAAAAAGATGGAAAGGTGTATTAACATGTGATATAACACTCCACAAACATGCAAGTTCAAATTCAACTTCTATATCTCGTAACGAAAAAACAAATTGAACCGCAGCTAGTTAACATATATTCAGAGTCAAATTTGTTTTTTTCGTTGCGAGATGTAGAAGTTGAATTTTTACTTGTATGTTTGTGGAGTGATATATCACATATTAATACATCTTCTTAATTTTTTTCAAATTTTTTCATAACCATTTGAGTGATATGCTAACAACGAGGGGATATCCCCTCGAGGGATCCAAATCCTCTTCCGTTATTGGCTTGTACAAGAGTATCCTGAAGCTGATCAAAGATCATTGCGATGTTGTTTCTTCCCTAGACATCAGGCTAGCTGTACAACAAGCTGGAAGAGGAAGACCACGAGAGTTTTAATACGCCTAACCTCCACATGCTTGTGCTGATCGAGGTTCGAGGCCCCACAAAGAGAGCCCATCATCATTAACCGCACAGGCTTCCAGATGCTGGAGAGATTCCTTGTGGAAGGAGCCATGCCCAAGCTCAAGCATCTCGAGTTCAAGTTCTACGCCGGCCGGCCCAGGCGCCCAGCAATGATCGATCACCTCCACCTGCTCAGCCTCCAAAAGGTGGTCTTCCGCTGCTCCAAATGGTACAAGCTAGAGCGACGATCCCGGCATCAAGGCCACCATTGACGTCGTGAAGAAAGAAGCAAGCGGCAGCATCCCAGCCGGCCGATCAACCTTCACATCACTGATGGCGATAAGGAGGTACCAATTAATTGAGGCACACAGGAGCAGTGAAAGTACGCCATCAGTTGTTCTAGCTGCGGCGGAAACCAGCACTAGTATCCAAGAGGAAAACCCCCGAGATCGAATACCAGCTACGGATTTGTTCTGGCCGGATCGAGTTTAACAGCTACGAAAAAGCAAAAAGAAACTAGCTAGTGCTATTGTATTCTAAATTTACCTGTACTGTATCTGTATAGAAAAATCTATTTCATTCATGTACTCAAAGCCTCCTCTAATCATCGTCTTGTGTTCATCTGTTTCAAACAGGCCATAAATCATATCCAAAACACTGTCTTCCACTACACCAAATGGTACAATCTCAATATGTTAACACCAGAATTTGGTATGGTTTTTAGTAGATTCGGTTAAGAAAAGAAATCGATTGGTAGATGAAAGTTTATATATGTAAGGTTAAGTTTAAGGAGGAATCGTCAAAACCACAGCAAGATAAATTCATATTTTTCAAAAAATAAAAGTAATAACCATCGACGAACCTATATATGCAGGTACATTTTACTCTTTTGTGTCAGATTTAATTCGGTCTATTCATTGAAGTAATTCTAAATTGATGACAACCACCCCCCTAAAAGAAAAATGACATCACCCCGGATGAGTATATATTCCTTTTAGCATCACTAATGAGGTAGTTCGTCGATGAATTTGTTAAGTTAATACATCTGGCGTGTAGAGTTGGAAATTCAATGAACTGCATCAGTAATCTAACTGTACATGCTAGGTGTACAATCTCCACAAATTCAAGGCATCTAAAAGAAAAGGACAAAGGAGGCACGAATCTGTATGTTGCGTGTGCTAGATTATGCTAGCTAGTAGAACATGACGAATCATCGATAAATAAATTTGGGGCGCAAAAAATTTCATGTTCCATCCCAAGCACGGGTGCTATTCTAGCTACTACCACCATATACTAGTTCCATCAAACACCAAGATCAATGTATACATAGAAAAAGACGTATTCATATGACAAGATTAATTTACTAGTCACTACCCATTCAAATATTCATCTAGTCAGATGTTCTCACAGTTACCAAGTACTGCATTTTTATATTGAATTCTAGAAGAAGAAAAAAAAAATAGAAGTACTGATCTCTAGCTCTCTGCACGTGACATGCATCATACATGTTGGTATTACTGGATTTTTCACATTTTGGTCCTTTTAAAAACTTATTTCGCAAATAGACCCCTGAAAAAACTTATCCCAGAAATAGTCCTTTTTAGGGCGCCAGAGTGGCTGGCGCCATCATCCAACGGGACGGCGCCAGCCTCTCTGGCGCCGTCCTCCTGCCACCGTGGTGCACGCGAACCGACGTGGCAAGAGGAGGGCGCCAGCCATGCTGGCGCCGCCCCAGGGAGGAGGGCGCCAGCATGGCTGGCGCCGCCGCCTCCATTCCTGCTTCTCTGTATGGAGTTGCAACGGTGTCATTTTTATTTTATTTTTTCGGATGTTTTTTCACACTCAGGATCACGATACAACCAACCACAAAAAAAATTTAAACTCGAACTACCACCTAGCTAAGTCTGAAAATATCTAGCATACCACTTAGTCTACTTTGCACCTTCACTAAAATTAGACCATAACTCCTTTAGTAAAACTCTTTGATCTGCATGTTAAACATAATGCACTCTACCACTACATGAAATTACTTAATCTAATTCAAAATATAACCTAATGAAATGACATATATAAGTTAAACAGTACATAGAGATGCAATTTTTTATTTTTATTTCATTTTTTTATATTTTTTCACACTTAGGAGAACATAGGAACCACCCGTATAAAAATAAACTCAAACGGATAAAATATGTGACATGTAGAATTTTCCAAAACTCTACCGAAACGGACAAAATATGTCATCTATTAAAATAGGCGTAACTTTCTCATACGGACACGAAATCAGGCAAATAATATATGCACGGGCATCTACAGAAAAAGTTACATCCGATTCTCCCCCGCTTTGCCGGGTTCGGCGATATTAAAACCTCCAAATTCCGCTTGCAAGATTGTGTTTTCGAGGAGAGAAGTTTTTCGGTGGAGCTTTGGAAAATTCCACATGCCACATATTTCGTCCATTTGAGTTTATTTTTTACATGGTTGGTTCCTGTGAGTTCCTAAGTGTGAAAAAAATATCAAAAAAATAAAATAAAAATAAAAAAGTTGCACATCTCTCTCCTCTGCACTAGTTCGGAGAGAGGAGAGGAGAGGAAAAATTCTACATGTCACATATTACGTCCATTTGAGTTCAATTTTTCTATGGTTGGTTCTTGTGTGTCCCTAAGCGTGAAAAAAATATCAAACAAATAAAACAAAAATAAAAAATTTCGGGGGGGCGCCAGCCACTCTGGCGCACTCCCCCTAGCCACCTCAGCATCGCCCCGCCACGTCGGCAGGGGGACGGCGCCAAAGAGGCTGGCGCCGTCCTGTTGAACGACGGCGCCAGGCACTCTGGCGCCCCAAAAAGGACCATTTTTGGGATAAGTTTTTCTAGGGGTCTACTTACGAAATAAGTTTTTCAAAAGGACCAAAATGTGAAAAATCCAGTTGGTATTAGTACTAACTAGTTCGAGCAGTCCGATGAATCGTAGTGTACAGTACATATTTTAAGTACTACACTCTGTACTGTGGCCCTGTTTGGATTCAAGGGTTAGAGTTAGTTTGAGCTAGTTGAGGCTCAAATAGCCCTAAAGGACCCAAACATGAGGGGTTAGATTGGGGCCAGTTGCATCTAACCCACAAAAAAAACTAGCCCCTCCAAGAGGTGCTTATTGGAGCTAGTTTGGGTGGGACCCACTGTACAAGCCACTTCTCTCTCTCTCCCCGCATCGGATCCCCATCTCCCGATCCCACACGGTCACACCCAAACCAATTTTTTCCTCTTGCTGGTCGTCGCCGCCTCCCAGATCCACGCCGCCACCTCCGCTGATCCGTGCCGCCGTCCTCGATCCGCGCCTCCGCCGCCGATCCGCGAGGCGCCCGTCCAACCGCGCCGCCGCCTCCACTGTTCCGCGGCGCGGCGACGCCGCCACCCCTGAGCCGTGCCTCCTCCGACCATCCCCGTCGCCGCCTGCACCGTTCCGCGGCGCCGGGCAACCTCAGCGCCGCCGCCACCCCCGAGCCGCGCCTCCTCCGACCATCCGCGTCGCCGCCTCCACCGATCTGCGCCATCGGCCACGCATGGACAGAGACAGCTTCGATGACCTCAGCACGTGGGCTACGCAGTCGTCGGCGAGCGGCCCCGCCACCGCTCCCTCTGCCGGCGCTAGCTTCGACCTCAACTCGCAAGCGCCGGTGGCGGAGGGGTTCCCGGGGCTTGGGATGTACGGAGCCTTTCTCCAAGGCGACGACGACGAGCTCCTCACTGGCCATGGCAGGGGCTCCAGCCTCCCTCCCTATCGCCCACCACGTGCCGGAGCCGGAGACGGAAGAGCGACTCCAAATCTATCTCGGCGACTGAACTTGGACGGCTCCTCCCCGACAGGAGCTGGTCGCGGAGGAGGAAATGGTGGCACCTTCCCAGACGGGTTGTCTTCGGGGAGAGGCGGGCGCGTTCGGCAGCGCTCGAGTTCAGCCACCGCGGCACCTGGCCGCCGGAGCCAGCGCAGCAACACGGCGGTACGTGTCGGCGGCAGCGGCTAGCGCCTACCGCGTCCCCGAGCACCAAGGGCACCAAGGAGTGCCGTCTGTGGACAAGCATCTGGCTCCGGCGCTCCCTTCAACAATGATGCTGAAGAATTGGAGGATGATGTGGAGGAGTTTGCGAGCTCCGACGGACCCCCGGTGAG